GGTTAACTTTTAAAGTTAAATAAAAAAACTTCGATTTCCATGGGTCCCAACTTCATCCATTGTCATGTGTATTTAAATTTACTTTTAGGAGTATTTTAAATTTCCGAAACGTTAACCCCACGTTGGAATATAATCACACAATTATTTGTGATAAAAATAATTTTTGAAGAAAATAAATTTTCCAGATCAATTTTTTTGATTTTCCACGTAATGTCTCTAAAACTAAGAAAGATGAAATGGAAGATAACCTTTTATATATATTCAACTTTTATACATTATTAAATAAGTTAATATATACAATATCAAAGATTTTAAATAAATTAAAAATTAACTATGAAATAATATATAAGATTATAAAAGCCTTTTATAAAAAATTATCTTTAAATCAAAGTTGAAAGACTATTTAAACCTAAACAAAAATTTTAAAGACCAAATCAGTATTTTAACATTTTTAATTAATTTACTTGAACAAATTCATTAACATTCAAATGCTAGTTCTCCAATAGAAAAATGTTATTTGTAATCGTCCTATAAAACTGTTTTCTGAATCTATTCCATAATACAACTGAGAACAAATTTCCTCTGCATCATGGATGATTTTATACTGTACAGACCCTAAATTTACACAATATAATCTGCATTAATAATTGCAAACTTTTAAGTCTGTAAGGAAAGTTTTGTTAAAATAATTTTGTTTGGAAAATATATCTAAAAATTTACTTTCTGATTAATATTTTCAAACTTTTAAGTCTGTAAGGAAAGTTTTGTTAAAATAATTTTGTTTGGAAAATATATCTAAAAATTTATTTTCTAATTAATATTTTAAAAAATTAAATATTAGATTAAAATTTTTATTTATATAAATTATGTATACCAATTTTTATATTGATATAATATTTATAACTTTTTTATCAAAGAAATTTATTTATTAACATATATGTAAATGGGTTAAATTTTATATAATCAACACAATAATTAGGTTTATTAAAATAATCTAAAAA